ATCTAAAAATGAATATGTTTAAATATAAGGTGTTAATTTTCAAAAAATACATAAGAAAAGAATACATCTTGCAATAAATGAAAACCCATATCATTAAGGGTAATATAGACATCTTAACCAATTTTACAAAAAGGATAGTCAACTGGGTCAATCTGAATAATGCCCCTAACTTTAAAATACCATTTAATAGTCTATGAAAGTATATATATTAAAAAACTTGAGACTTACTTTTTAAATCCATAAAATGCCTAATTACAATTATAGCCTTTCGAATAAAATATCCAAATTAATTAGTGATAACTAATGGGTAAATTTAATTTGTGGTCAATAAACTTCCTGCAAAATTTACTTGGATCATTAAATTTAATATATTTTTACTGGATACTGAGTTATTTTAATTTCAATTAGGCAACTGCACTTTAATATTAGTATCAATTTCACGACTCCGTACTCAATTGTATCCCGAATCAATGAAAGTTGCTTAATTGACTACAATACTGTAGCGAATCTTCCACTTAACCCTGTGGGCATACCAACTTACTTCTATGCCATCCTATAAAATCGTTAAAAATATGCATTTTAACCTTTCAATCTGGAGATATTATCCGTCCTTATTGTATAATTTTTATTTTTAAGGTGCAACGTAGGGATTACGTGAAAATAAATTATCATATAACTGATATTTCCATCAATTTGGGTAACGAAAGGTGACGGAGTGTAACAGATTGTCCAATTTTAAACTAAACACAGAAGTTCAGTGACTAAGTTGAGACAAACTAAAGTATAGTGACTGCAGATGAAATTAATTATCAATTTATTAGAGGTAATTAATTATTATTCATAACCGATGTCTTTCGGCAACGGCGTCCACACTGGCAAAATCTCCTCTGCAGCTCTGCTAAAATAAGCCTCCCGCTAACGTAAGCCCCCTTGCGCATTAACCCCCACTCCAACCCCACGATGCCTGGCGCCCTTAAACTCACCAATTTAACTTCCCTTTATGCCCACAAATCCAAATTCCCCCACAAATCCAACCACCACCGTTGTAGATTCTATAACACACTCTCCTCCTCCTCCTCCTCCTCAAGGAGTAGGCGGCGGGGGTGGCGTTCCGCGACATTTTCCCAGTCCAAACATTCCACCGAGTGGTGTTGGAGGATAACTCCATTCGCACCCCCCGCGCTTCGTTGTAAAATCACCCCCTTCCCCCACCCTCTCGTCGGAGCATTTGGTGGCCAGAAAAACTACTTTTATTCATCCGAATCGGAGAATAAAGATCAAAATAGGAATCTGACCGGAAATTATAAAAATAATAAAAATAACAATCTCGTGACTCCCATGGGTGCCACTCTTGAACCGACACCTTCTCCGACGTCTAAATTGCTCACCTTGCCTACAATCTTAACCATTTGCCGGGTTGCAGCCATCCCGCTCCTCGTAAGCAGTATGTTTTTTGCCCTTTTATTGTGACGAAATTATGGAATTGTGTGAGATTAATTGTTCTGGAAGTATTTTTTTGTGTTTTTGCTAAGTTAATGTAAAATCTACAATTATATTTTCTAGTTGTATTGAAATTCAGGAATTCAAATACAATATTTACCCTGGTGATAATTTGTGATTTAATTAAATATGTCAAAAATTATACAAGATTTGGGAATTCTTTGGCTATATTTATCCATGCATCTATTCTAACTGAATTGACGGTCAATCAACTCTACCGGGTTGAGCTTGACTTGATGTTGAAGTTCATTGCAAAATACAACATTAACATGCTACTTTTTGGTTTTACTAGCCTTTTATGTTGATAGATGGTGGGGACCGACGGTGACTACTGCGATATTTGTTTCTGCGGCAATTACAGATTGGCTTGATGGTTATCTTGCTAGAAAGGTGCCAACCTTTGACATTCAAATTGCATAGAAACATCTTTTTGTAGTGCTTCTATTTTCTTTATTTCCATCTTACATTTTGTGGGTGTTTTAGATGAAACTAGGAACTCCATTTGGTGCATTTTTGGATCCAGTGGCTGATAAGGTAATGATATTTTTCTTGTAAACAATATTATGCATGTAACTTGGAAGTATTAGCAGATGCTCTGGCCCATTGGAAAATTAAGAGATTGTTGTTGTACGTGTTACTTGAATGAATGCAGCTTATGGTTGCTGCCACCCTCATCTTGCTGTGTACCAAATCGTTGGAAGCCGGGATATTTGGACAAGCACCGTGGTTACTGACCGTGCCTGCAATTGCTATAATCGGTAGAGAGGTAAGTACCTAAGTAATATTTGCTCGTTATAGACTAAATATAAAGCTGTGAATACGAGTATTGAAGTACTCATATCAGGAACACATGAAGTGTTCCATATTAATATCCTCAGGAGATAATTCTTCGAATGGCACTATAGCAATTGGAGAAAATTTCCCCTTCCCTGGTTTGGGGGCTTAATCAATTATCTGTGCATATCCATATAGCACGCAGGTCATTGGTCGAAATAAGTTGATATTTGTAGAGCAATGGTGTCCTTGATTTGGTGTTTAGGCATCACCTACTAATATAGCACTTGCCAAATGAAAATGTAGCTTATCTGGAAACTTGAAGTGACCTGATCTCCTGCAATCACCATTCAGTCTTAATCTTCTTTCAAGAAACATAGATAAGAAGTACAATCGTCAAATACTTCCAAATTATCGTTGATAAAGCCCTGTAATGAGGCATCTCTTTTCTTTCTAAGAATTCATGTCTAGATCATTAAGATACGTCAATCAAACCCCTGTTGCCCAGATTGGTTGGTGTAGATCTGTATAATATTAATATCATTTATTCAAGTTACTGGAGGACGTACATCTTAGCATTCTGTAGTTAGATTTATGATAGGAAGAATCATACATGTAACCAATGTCTCCCTTTAGGACAAAAAAACATGACTATCCATCTATTTTTACTACTGTTATGAAAAAATAAGAAATATGGAATCATAGTAAGCTCGGAGCAACATTTTTGGGTGCTGATTAGACTTGGTGGCCTTATTAGTGATTTTTCTTTTAGTTTTCCCGTCCCCCACTTTAGTTATGCTTGTTAATAGGTAGATCTGAAATACTGGGGAGGCCACCGAATGTCCAATTTTAACCCAATGAATGTTACCACCTCACTAGCTTTCAGCTGCAACGAATCCAATTTAGCTCTTAATACAGTATTATTCAAATAGGATTTTTTTTTTTGTTATTGGGATAGGTGAATTCTTATAGATCCATCTCCCGGAGGAACCAGACATGATAATCTTTTATCGTCCGGCTCGAGCAAGAGCAGCTAGCTGATAGATATTTCTGCATGTATAAATATAGTGTCAATCTATCTTTGATTTTTAGTATGAAATACATTGTAAGAATATTTAGGGGGTTCCTTCACTGATCAAAATGTTCTTCATTCTCACTGTTGCATATTTTGGTTTAATTGGTTCTAACTGCCTTGAGTAACCAAGTTACCTTTAAATGTAGATAACTATGTCTGCAGTCAGGGAATGGGCTGCTTCTCAGGACAAAAAGCTTTTAGAGGTTTAGATGCCAACCTCCTATTATAATACAATTATAGTTGTTAAGTGGTTAATTCGTACTCTTTGTTTGGTAATCCAATGTTTTTTTTTTCCAAGGCTGTTGCTGTAAATAATTTGGGAAAGTGGAAAACAGCCACTCAGATGACTTCATTAACCATCATTCTAGCTGCCAGAGATAGCAGGTTTACATTTCTTCATTTCTACGAGATTTCGTTACTGATAAGTTTGAGTGAACTTAAGTTGAATTTAGAAGTTTGTTAGATTCATCCTCTGATGCACGTGACTATCGTCTGTCTTTCTCTTCTCTCTACGTGTCTGTGCAGTCTTGTAGGGACGGGATCTCTTGTAGCTTTTGGGGTCATACTACTATATATTTCAGCATGGCTCGCCGTGTGGTCATTATTCGTTTATATGAGAAAGATATGGAAAGTATTGCTGAGATAGAAATCCTGACCTTCATCTGTATTCTTACTACTTGAAGTTAAAAAATTGTCCATGGAGCACTTTCTTCGCTGGTCAAAGAGGATTTCTTCATCGACATGAACAAGAGATTGCTGCTTTCTTGGATCTTCTGCGGTTTCTTGTGTTATGTACTACTAAAAGATATCATAAACTGTCCACATATTGAGCTATTTTCTGATGCAACTTTGTTTTACTTAATCGGCCAAATGAGATTGGTGGTTCTTAACAGCAGTTGGTAGCTCGTCGATCTATTTTCACATTAGTTTGATTATTCAGTGGAACATTTATTTTACAATCAATGCTAGACGGACCAGTATCAAATGATCTTGGAAAATGTAAAAACAAAAGCTGAATGCACCCTACAATTATTTTATAATATTGATGTCACGATTTCATAGCTTTTACTGTTTGTTTGGTGCTCTGTATCAAATGAAAAAGTCCTTCCCCAGTGAAGGTTTCTCTCCTTCCCCAGTGAAGGGTTTCTCTCCTCCCGTCGGTGAGGATTTTCTCCCCTTCCTCTGGGCGTCCTCAGTGTAGGATAGTTCCTTGGTGAAGGTTTTCTTCCCCCTTTCCTCTCCTACCTCTCTCTCTATTCTAACCCCAACCCTTATCCCTCGCGAGCCCGACGGGGGGTGGGTGTGAAGGTTTTCTTCCCCCTTTCCTCTCCTACCTCTCTCTCTATTCTAACCCCAACCCTACTCCCTCGCGAGCTCGACGGTGGGGTGGGAGTTTCGGCTCCCACCGCTCCCTTTTTTCCCTCCCCTTCTGGTTTTCCTTTTGTTTTTTTCGGTTGCCCGTGGTCCGCTGTGTTGTGGCAGGCATGTTTTGGGCGGTGTGGTGGTTTGGACCGGTAGCTTTGGGTGGTTGTTTTTCGCGGTGATCTGGTTGGTGAGAGGGGTGTGTGAGTTTCGGCTTGCGGTCTCTTGAGGTCGGAGATGGCGAAGACTTCTGCTGTTGGGCTTGGCCGGCGGGCCCTTTTGGCTGGGTTCCAGCGGTGGCCATGGGTTGGAGTTTGTGATGTGTGTGTGTTGTTTTCGTTGGTGGGGATTTGGTGGTGTTTGTTTGTTCGTAGATCTGTTTGTTGTTTGTTTGGTTTTAGTTAGTTGGGTGTTGTTGATTTGTGGTGTTGTTTGTTGTGGGGCGGTGTTTGTTGTTTGTTTGTTTGGATGGTGTTGGGTTTTGGTTTGATTGTTGGTGGTGTTGGTGCGTTTTGTGCTGGCTGTGGAATCTGGGTTCACTGTTGAGACTCTTTCCATTAGAGTGCTCTCCCACTCTCTGGTGGGGTTTGAAGTATTAGACAATGCTCGTTACTTTGTTGCGGGGGTGCTTAAGTGCTGATTGCGTTAGTTGGCTTACAGTCGGGTTTCCAGTCTGTTTAGTCACATTTGTTAGTTCGCTGCGGGCCTCTTCCACTTTCGGCCTTGGTTGTTGGGCTTTGGTGTCGTTTGGTTGTGTTATTGTTGTTAATTGTTTCGTTGGTTTGTTGTGTTATTGTTGTTATTTGTTTCGTTGGTTTTGTTGTTGTTTAGTTGTCTTTGTCGTCACTTTTGTTGTAGCTTTGGTAACACTTAAACTCTCTTAGGAGAGCATTGTGTTTGGGGTTTTCCCCATTGTACCAGCTGTTTGCTATTTTAATGAATTTACAATTCAAAAAAAAAAAA